TGATTTCTCTGTTCTATATATCTATTGTTCTTTCATGCTATCGTTCTATTGTTCTATCTATCGTTTTATCTAAATGTACGTACAAAATCAACAAGTCTAAGATTTTTGGGGAAAAGGACTGCAAGTGACTTGCCAACTGGCCTGAAAGTCTTTCACACATGCCATTTAAAGAGCCAACCTTTTTGTTGAGTTCTGCACTATGGTGTCAAATTTGGTTGCATAAAACAAAAACAGATGCCACCATGAGGAAACTGATAATAGATTTTGCCATTTAGATTTTCGTCATCTTCAACTCGTTACTAATCGGCATAATTCGTGGCATAGTGATATCATTTTTGCTTGAATGTGTGAAACGCATTTTTTTTTTTTTTTTTTTTTTTATGCGGGAGTCTGCCGAACAGATTTAAATGTGTTATAATGTCAGGAGTACTAAACCCCTGTTGGTAGCTAAAAGCACAAATTAGCCAAAAAAAAAACCACGAATGCGGCAATGTGAATTCAGGCAGAATAGATTCCTTTAAAAAAACTGGCAATTGCTATTGTTGTTTACTGCTTGCTTTGCCCTAACTTTTAGTCAGTATTGGATTTGACTTGAACGTTTTGGTGATGGTACTTCCTGGCACATTTCAAACCTGTGTTTTTGTACGATTTAATTATCGTACTACGTAATATCAACGTTTTTTTAACGTACCAGCTGCTGTTCTTTAACAGTAGACTGTTTTACTGGTACTATTAACACGTTTTATCCGTGAATGATCTGTATTCATTCATCCAACCTTGAATCATTGGAATAGCTGTTTCTTCAGTTTGAATCTGTGATGTGGTTGGTCATTACAGGTCAAATTTTTCTGCGTGATGATTGATGCTCATGTCCAACATTGTGGACACAAATGTGTAATGTTAAGACGAACAACTGTGACATATCCCTGTACACTGCTAACTTTCAGCTACGTCATCTTTCTGTTCCTCTTTTTTTTTCTTTACTCCCAATTAGCTTGTTTTGACCGCAAATAGCTGCTTGACACTCCCTGGTCATGTTAGTGTCACACTAAACAGTGTTACTTTGTCTTATTTAAAATGTATTAGATGGAGCCTAGCTCACAATGAAACTTGTGCGGTGGTTTTTGAACCCTGGTTTATCTGATTCCAGTACTACACTAATCTTCAGTCAGTTGAGCGTTTTTAACAAAACCGTACGTCTTCAGGACTGGAATCGAAAGCCAGTGTGTCCCAGACACAGATAACGTCAGTTTCTGGCCTATGAAGGTTTTTTTTTTTTTTGACGTAATGTAGGCAAGTGGGTTATTCGTATACCTGGGGCTTTGGTCCCGGCTTTTTTTGCCTTTTACTGTTACAAAAATAAATAAACAAGATAACAGAACCATTCAAACTAAAAAACAAATCGCAAACATTTTGTTAGCGCTCCTTTTATGCTGTATTTGTCCTTTATACCTCCATTGTGCAATAGTTTGTAAATTTTATTTGTTGTAATACCTGTACATTCATTTGTTTTCATATCCTGTTTTATTATCCATGTTTTTTTCTCTTTTTAAAGAAAAAAGAAAGTAAATATTTTTTTAGTGACTCATAATTTTGGGCATATGTCCCATAAAACTCGAGCTGAATGCATTCCTTTTTGGCCTGCCTTTAACCCCTCGCCTGTGTAGATAAGACCGATATTAACCCGATAGAGAAATGCATAAGAGTATACATAAACCATGTATATTATGTGTTATATTTGTCCTATGAAACATGAGTAACTGCACATGTGTAACTCTAAACATTTTAAGGATTTCAGACTGCATTGATAGTGATTAGTGATGCTTGGATTCCTTTGGAAATGTTCATGCTCCGTATGTTGTCCCTTGATTTCACAGAATAAACAAAAGATAACATTTCAGACGCATGTATACGTCACTCTATTCAATTCACATGTGTTTGTCTCAAATGCTGTAATATATAACCAGAAACCCCAAAATGTATTTGGACACTTAAAAAATGTGTAAATGTCACTTTTTTTTTACTATGTTTTAATATTTTTTTTTTTCTGTCTGTTTGTGTTCATAGTAATCTCACATACTTAGCCAAATGTAACTGCACCTTAAGTAAAAACGTGTCCATAGTTAAATCTGATGAACTAGTCCTCTGTGAACTTGACTTCACACTCCAGACCAGATAAAATTGTAATGAAAATCACTTGGAAAAATGTTGTAAGATAGGGTCTAGCATCATTTGTTTGCCGACGCCACTTGGTTTGATATTTTATGTCAGTGTTTTTCATACAAATTAAGCGTGACTTAAAAAAAAAAAAAAAAAACGTATTTTTGGGTTAAATTGTGCCAGCCTTTGTTTTTTCTCAGTAGGCTCAAGGTGCAACGGTAGGGCAAATTCTTGTATAATACTGCATCTTAAATTGCTTTATCGTAGCTACTAAAATCAGGAATCTGAGACTGAGTCATAGTTGTAAAGCTACTAGTTTCTTGAGGACTTCCTTGTAGCCCAGTGGAAACTCCTGGAACACGAGAACCTGCACACAGAATGTTAACCGTAACAGGAAATTCCGAGATTGGTATTTGCTTAGTTTGTGTGCTAGTGAACTTTGAGTATCAAAATGCGCCAAAGAGCCTCCCAGAATTGACTCCCGATGTTTATTCCACATGCCTCATTAGTTGTTTTAGTTTTGTTGGGAATGCTTGACATTTCTAATAACTTGTGTACGAAAAACCTCTTTGACCCTGGTAAATGCATATCTTGCTTGCATAAGCAGGGAGTTTCTGGGAATAATGGCTATGTCAAGTGAGACGGTCCAGGTGTGCCAATAATGCTCTTGTGTTTTACCAGAGCAAGGTGAGTATGTTAAATGCGACACACATGTACATGTTGAAGGTCTGGATGGGGTCATCATGGTAACAAGATCCTCAGTGTGCTCTCACTCGGTTGATTGGATTCGAGGGGACCCTTTCACGGACTTGAGCGTATTGACAGCTGGCTGGGAAATGTTGGCCCGCTCCTGCGCCAAAAATTGCTCGGAACGGGTATTGATTTAAATCAGCGCGTTGACTAATCGGACCTCGATCTGCTCGTGAAGGGCTCCAGACCCAAGCTGGATTTTGTGTATTTAATCAGCTGGGCCTGGGCCAGGAAGCAAGGGCTCTCCACCGAGTAATGCTTCCCTGGGGATGCTGCGGTGCACTGACGGACACTCTTCTGCACTCCACCAGGACCGTCAGCAGAGGTATGCTATGGGAAATGTAAGCCAGATGGCCACTTTCCATTATGTTGTCACACAAATGTGGTTTTTCTTCAACCATGGGGATTATCATTTTTCTGTCTTTGTTTTGTTGGTGCTGAGGTGATTTTGAAGAACTGACATATAATGTTATTGCCTCCCAATGCAGCTATTCGCCTGGATTTTGATGGTTTGTCCCAAGTTGGCGCAAATGACGTACGAAACATCATGTCCTGACGTTGTGCTCCATGGGAAGTATCACTACAAAAAGACAAGTGTAGTGTTTTGACAAGTTGTAAGATGATTCCCGTGCAAGTCCAGCAGGTGGCAAACTCTTCCCATGACATTCCCAAGCTTTCCAAAGGAATCCGCACCAAAAGCACACGTGAAACCAAAGCAGCTACATGGACAAAAAGATACTGAGTGGTATAACAAACTTCCAACACATTTTTCCATTACAACCTCATTATTTTTTTGTATATTTAGTTCATTAAGTTTGAATAAAACATGTTTTTAAAAACAAATGTATCTCTCCAGGTGCAGCTGTAATGATTGATCCCAGGACAGGAAGTGGAGTTAAATTAGTATCCCTGGTTGGTGGGTACATTTTTGAAGAGAATTCATCTAAGGTAATTTATAGTTTGTATTTGAAAACGTTTTGCTGCCGGCATGAGGAATACCCTCAAGGCTCCATCACTCACTCTTACAAAAATCTAAAAGAGTCTTGTTTTTATCTTTTTGCATGAAACCCGAGGAGCATTCTGGCTTGAAGCCAGGCAATTAACATAATCCTAAATGCATCATTGGTGTCATTATCAGTTTCTTATGTTGGTTAAAAACCATTTCCTAGGTGAATAGTGTCAAGGCTCGGCTATCTCAAGGGATGTGACCTTTGTAGCAGACTCTTGAAGATCATTGGAGGATTAGGGAATTGTAAGCTGAAACGGCACACATTAACCTGGCTGATTTATCAACTATACAGCAACTCTGAAAAGTGATCTGAGACCAACCTGAAAGTGATATGAAAATGTTTTTCTTACTTCACAAAGTAAGCCATCCATTGACACAGTTTTAGTTCCTCATTCCTCAAAATAACCATGCAGTGAATACCTCTCAAACAAGTGAACGGTATAATATTTCCATACCACTGCACAGGGCCCATGAAAACACAAGAGAGTATTAATAGTGTTATCATACAATAGGGAGATGTGCTTTGTTTTTTGGACTAGTGTCAGTATAAGATGCATTATTGGATGTGATTTCTGCTGTGTGACCTGAATATACTGTACCAACTGGTATTAAGCACCCAAAGGACAGTCTTTTGTTTATTAAAGAACATTTAGTGCTCTATTTATACATAAAGACTTTGGTGCCAGATACCTTCAAGCTCTTGATATGTATTTTTATCTGATTGACTTAACAGCGCCTGTAAAGTTTGAATTCTCACCCCAACTGTAAAAAAGTAATTTGAAGCAGAAAGTTCACCCACTTCTTCCGTTGTTTTTCCAAAGCTTCTCTCTCTTCATCTGTGGTGTAGCCCTCTGCCCAGACAGGGCTATATTCAGTCTCACCAATTATGTAAATGTAATGTTTGTATTTATAGGTCTAGCCGCAGCTCTCTGGCATGGCAAAGTTGCAGCTGGGAAAGATTGCAATCTCCCTCAAGGCTTGTAACATCTACCCTTGGGCGATACCACCGAGATCTTGTCTGAAGGATTGGAAAAGATTGATTGATGTGCTAACGTACTGGACACATCGACAGACACAGATGTTTATATCTCAATTAAGTTTAATATGTACATTAAGTACAATATTTACAGTGTATAAATTATGTACATAAAATGTTTGGTCCAGAACAACTCACATAGCCCTTATCATGTCATCCGAACATGGGACAGTCTGCAATTCACGTTAACAACATACAAATTTGTAAGAATACGTTAGAAAAAAAAAGAAACGAAAAAACCATAAGACCCTGATTTTTAAATGTTTATGTCGATAAATGCACAAATTACTTCAATTACTTAAAAACATTCAGTTAACGCCCTTTTGTTAACTTTTAAGGCAGTTTTGAAAGAAGAAAACATTGTCTTACAAAGCTTATTTAGTTTCTTGAAACAATAGCATACAATTTTTTTTAAAAATGCCAAGAGTATTTATGGCACTCGTGAGATGTATACATGAATTAAAAGGCACTGTTGTCATGTCCATAGTACATCATGTTAACTTAAACACATTTAACTGTCTGATTCCAGTTCCGTCTTGAGGTTTAGGTCCAGCCTAACATGAGTTGAACTTGTTTGGCATTTGTCAAGCTCATTGGAAAAGGAAAATATATTTTGTTTCTTTAAAAAAAATCTGTAAAGAAATGAAGTGTAGAACCAGCTACAATGCAAAAGACTGTTTAGGATTCAGCAATAGGTCAAGTCAGTTCATTTTTCCTCTTTTGTCATACTTTAAATAAAGGGTACAGACAAAATGCTTGCTTTGACATCCATGATGTTCATTGTTCAGTGCGTTTAGTCCAAATTTTCAGAGGCAGTTCCTACATATGGCGTTTCATATGGAGGGCGAGATGGTCGGACCGGGAGAAGGCGCGCTCGCACAGATGGCACTGGAAGGGTCGGTGTCCGGTGTGCTTGCGGAAGTGACGGGTCAGTTCATCAGAACGGGCAAACTTCCAGCCACAACCTTCCCAGCTGCAGTGGTAGGGCTTCTCACCTAGTGAAAGAGAAGAAAAAAACAAGGTATGTTAATATTTATATATTTTCAGCAATCGGTTATTGTCATGACGTTCTATTGTCAATTTCAAAAAGAGCAGTCAATTGGGATGTAATCGCATTGGCATAGATGTTTATTTACCTGTATGCGTTCTGTGATGCGCCTTCAAGTGGGAACTTTTTGTGTAGGTTTTGCCACATCCAGAAAAAGTGCAAGTGTGAGACGCTGTCCGTTTCCTCGGCCAGGTGCGACGTCCCCTTTTTGGTTTGGCGTCCATCTCCAGAGGAGATGAGGGTGGTGTCAGAAGTACTCTTTGGTTGGCGTTGGGCATTCCAAGCCCGTCGTCGCACACGCTGAAGTGATGCGCATTTGGGTAAGACAGGTGCATCTGTGGAGGTGCGGCATGGGGAAACCCCGTGTTGCCTTGGTAAGCCTGCTTGAACGTCATCGCGTGGCACATCTGTGACTGACAGTCTGTGTTGATGAGCTCCGCGGGGCTCTGCGGTGGAGTCATGCTGCCTGCCCCCTGGGGTGAGTTGGCCAGTCTTGGCTGCTCATATGACCTCATGCATGCACCGTTGCCTTCTTGTTTGACTTTAGGAACCATTCCTCTTGCAGGTCCATAACTGTCCATGCAGGGCTCCACTTTGATACACTCCGAAATGTCCTGATTGGGGAAGATAGACCTGACCAGGAATCTTCCCTGGGTGTTGTTGGGCAGAGATGACTGGCAGTAGGTGTCTACATCGGATTGCAGAAGCTCTGCCATGAGGCTGGTAGTATACGGCGGAGGTGACGGGTTGATCTCGGGCACCGAGTATGCGGTGGGGTTGTACATGTTTCTGGATTCTTGCATTCTGTAATCGCTTCCCATACCGAGTCCGAGATTATCAGAACCCGCAGTGTTGGCCAGAATAAACTCCAGATCCAGATATTTATCAAGATCTTCGTCGTCTATTGCTCTGTTGAGGTTGTCCATGTTTGTTATGTCAGCTATGCAGCTGAGATGCATGGACCTGTCCAGTTCATCCTTCCACCTCTGCAATGGAACAGATAGATTAAACTTACTTTGAGATTTTAAGAGCAAGAATGCACAAAAAAAAGTTATAGTACAAATCAAGAATATAGTAAGAGGGTCAGGAATTTCTGTCAATAATTTTCAATGCGTTTGAAGTTCATCTCGCTGAACTCGAGTCTTATAGTAGGCTACGATCTAATAAAACTGTTAACTATCTTAAAGACGCTTTAAACAAAACACTAAAGGTTTTCTTGTATATTGTGATGTCTAAATCTAATTTAACGTGATAAATAATGACACAAATTATACATAATAAAATATATAGTCGATGTACAATCGAGCAGCTGTTGCTATGGTTACGTCCTCAGGCGAACGCGATTTATTTTCGCGAGGATAATACTGTACGTTTAGCGCACTGACTAACTTGCAATATAACTTTTTTTTGTAGTTCGTGAAATTGTTTGAAAACGCTGTTAAAATGCGTATATACACGTGTATGTAAAAACAACTACATACATATACGAATAAAGCACTACATAATCATAATAATGATGTGAAATAAAAAGAAATAGGCTACTCACGTTTTCCCAGCATTTTTCCTTCTGTGCTGAAAATGTGGAAATAGACGGTAAAATTGTTCCAGTCAAAGCCATTTCCAGTCGTCCCAGTAAAATTAAAAAGCTTTAAAAATCGGGGACCAGTTGCAATCCCTCCAAGAAACTTTGGTTGTAGTGCACTACAACTCGGTTTCTGCTGTTAAACTCTCTGTTTCACACTCATGCAGCAAGTATGAGTGGTGGAAGACCTTATCTTATAAATATCACGGCAGTAGAAGCTGGACCAATTGTACGAAGCGGAGGAAATACGCACTATCCGTCCCTAATTTTAGCCGCGCTATATAGCTGCTGTTCTCCGGCTCGTGCGCCTTTCGTCTTGGATGGTGAGAGCGCACGGGCTCCTTCTTTAAATCACCGGAGTCACTCCACGCCCCCTCGGTAAAACGAGTTAAACGAGTACAACATGATGCAAAAGATCCCTCCTCTTCTCTCCCTCTCCCTCTCTTGCCTTTGGGGAGAAAAAGAGCAGAATGGGAGAAAAATACACATCATTAACACGTTGTTTAAAGATGAAAAGTGTCGATACCAATTGCGCGCGCCACTGTGAGCCCCCGAGACATGTAGAGCTATAACAAAGGGGATTATGACCTCGGGCATTATTGCATTTTAATAATGTAAAATTTGCTGGCTCAAGAGCTAATAAAATTAATCCATTTAATCTTTTTTTTTTTTGCTTCAGATAAGTGAACACACATGTATTTTAATCCATGCATTTCCTAAATAAAACATTCTAAGTTTTAAAGAAGATAGTAAAAGAATGTTTTTTACGTTAGACTGCTCAGTTTTGCGAAATAACATTACCATTACCAAGCAATTGTTGGGTTAATTTTGTATGTTTTATGACATCATAAATAATAAAGGCATTTATATTTTACTTTAATCTAACTATGAAATCTGCAGTTTGATGTTTTAAACCAATCAGTTACTTATTCAAAATCGGGCTCTTTATTTTCCTACTGCTAACAAATGTAACCACTGACATATTTACAACCAGTATTGTGATAATGATTTACCTGTGAGTATATGCTATATAAAAAGAAGCATTATTAAAAGAAACTTTAAATATGAACAACAAAACAGTAGTGGCTTTATGGAGATTTGACTCAAACATCTTTCAGAAGGGCAAACTAGAATTAAACCTCTTTTCTCACGTGACTATTTTACATCAACTATTTTTAGACACTTGAAACCCCATCTTATTCACAAATTAGTTGTACTGCTTATAAAAAGCCAATGTTAAAGTAATACTACGTTTGCACTGTATATCATGCTGTATTATGATGTAAGTGTGTGTGAAGTTACTCCTTGCACCTGCAGCCGTAGCCACAACTTTATTGGATTTGCATATCATTGGACCGAAATATTAACAACAACACGACTCTCTGTGCTTTTTAACACCATTTCTGGCTCCAAATGTATCCGTAGTATCAAGCTCTAAACAAAACCCTTGCCATTAAGCTCTTAAAACCCCTTTCATTTGCAAATAGAGCTGAGGAGGCTGGGAATCCCCCCCCCAAATAGCAGGTATCGGGCAAATTACTTGTGCTAGTCTACGAACAGATATTTTTAGCTTGCAGCAAATTGCAAAGTCCAGTCACCCACAATCCAGTGCAAAAGAAAACATTAAATGGTGGTTTGTGTGAAATTACATCACTTCTCTATTTTTGTGCGTCAAAAATAACACTCAAATGGTGAGAACGTTCTGCATGAGAGTCCAAATGAGGTGCAAGCCGGGTGCGACGTGAACCATTCAAAGTTGAAACGAATGCCATTCCCTTAAACATACCAACACGTGTTTTGACTGAGTTTACCGTTTTATTATTCAATAGCCCAATTTAAGAGTACAGTATGTGATTTGGGCACGGAGAATGTTGAGGCCTAAGAATGCCAGTAAAGGGTGTAGTTATATTGTACAGTACAACTAGTTCTCCCCTCAGGGCAGCATGGATCACACATTAATATGTTGGTTTGTGCTGTGATCGTGTGTGTAGGAGGTTTCCGACACACCCTCACACACACCTCCTGTACAGGTAGACTCTTAAAAATGAAGCTTCTTTATTGGCATCTATGGTTCAATGAAGATCCTTTTACATACACTCTAAAAAATAAAGGGTCTTTACTGGCATCTTTAATTTAAAAACAAAGGTTCCAAAAGTGGGGTTTCGCAGTAAAGAAACATTTTTGGTTCCCCAAAGAATCTTTCAGTCAACTAGCCTGGTTAAAACCAGACCATTCTCAGTTGTAACTGAGTTATGGTCTGGCAAAGCGTCATAGACAAATCATTTCCAGAGGGGCGTCACCAACGGACGTCGCGGATAGACCTGAAACCAATCAGAGCGATGAAGGAGATGACGTATGCAGAGCGGTGGAGAAACATCTCCGAGTGTTGTTCTTTGCTCTGTTTTTAACAAAAAGGAAACGTTCAAATCGCTTAAAACAGACGCGATAGCTGATTCGAACGAGTGATGTTCGACGGCGGCATCCATCTTTGTAATGTAGGCTACAAAATCTGCTTCAAAATCCCAGCGCTGTCGTCATCGTGTAAAGCCCGCCCCAACGTTTCTGATTGGTGCCTCGATTTCGACGGATTGGAAATGGGCTTGAATGAGCTCTTTGCCAGACTAACTTTCAGAGCAAATCTAAATTTGCCGGAAGTTGTCTGGGTTTTCCCAGGCTATCAGTCAACAGTTCTTAAAAGAAATGTGAACTGAAAATGTTAATAATCCAAAGAACCTTTTTCCACAATGAAGAACTTTTTGTGCAATGGAAAGGTTCTATGCATGCTAAAAGTTCTTCATGGAAACATGAATGCCAATGAAAAAGCTTTATTTTCTAAGTGAGTGGAACCTTTTACATTGCACAATTGCACAAAAGGTTCTGGAAAAAGACTCTTTGTATTATTGAAATGTTTTTTTTACACTGAGAAAAAAAGGGTTCTTTTAAGAACTGTTCACTGAAGGGTTCTTTGGGGAACCAAAAATGGTTCTTTTCTATGCCGTCATTGCGAAAACCCACTTTCTGAACCTTTATTTTGTATATAGTGTATACAGGCCTATATGGTGTCTGGTTGCTTGGCATGATGAACTATAGATGCTGAATTATAGTTCTGTTCGGACAAAGAGATATAGAGAAACACTGTACCTCTTGATTTCTGCCTTTTATCTGTTTATGTGTTGTATCCCATTCTCACCTATCTGTGTTGGTATCTTTGATTCTTATCAGTTTATCAACTCGATGTGACTGCCAATGGATAACCATTCACTTTTCCTTTTAAACGATATGTAGTTTTGGAAAAGATTTTATGCTTTGCGTGTGAACTGAGCTCAAGTAACCCGCTCGGCATCAAGCATTTATTTGGAAAAAGTTTTTTTTTCTCTTGCTTTGGTTATCCAGTGTAATGCATATTTTGCTGCTTGAGTCAAACCCTGGGAAACACCTGCTCTTTCTTCACAGCGGGACGGCGTTGTGGCTGCCCTAGGCCCTGCTTTCGAGAGAGAAGGAAACCGAGAGTCCTGCCAGAAAGTGCGCGAGTGAGAGTTTGAGACGGAATGGGATTCTGAGCAGGCCTTTATATACGCAACTATTTTTAACCCCACTCCCTCTCGCCTATCACAGGGCTTCCTCTCTCGGACGCTCAGGAAGCCAGCCTGGCTCGGCTTCCTGCCTTCACGCCGGGCTCTTCAGGGCCAATCAGGGAAGGATAGCGTTGTGATGACCAGGCACTGACTCAAAAGGAAAAAGAGTTAAAATCATGCCACATATTTGTGTGATTAGATTTCAGTGGAGCAAGTGGTCGTCTGAGAGGGAGTTTGACATGTAACTCATGTTTTTTGAGCCTTCTAGATTAATGATGAACTCAAACTGAAATCATTTGTGTGTCATGCTGCCACTAACAGTATTCATTTCTCCTTAATCAGTGTTTCCCAATATATTTGTCTAATGTGCCTCCACAACCCCATAAGTACTCCTAAGTAAGAGCCTATGCATATACAGTATGTATACAGTATGTATTGGCCTGCTATGTTGCAGCATATATCCAAATGTACAATAACGGTTATGTACCAATACTTAAGAATACTAATGAGTAAAAGTTTACAAATAACAAAATGGCTATTAACATTCGATCTGACTTCCTCTTAATGCTCGCATTTCTCCGTCCAATTTCACCATCCTATCACTTTCAAGTCCCGCCATACATTCTTTTTTTCCCCTTCTCATTTCCATTTGGAAATACTCCACATTATGAGTTCGCAAACAAATTCACATTGATTTTAAGTACCACCCTGGTGTAGACTGCAGCTAAAACACTTTCAAAACCACTTTGTTTACCGACGACACTCAGAAATGCATGTCTGTATATTCTCAGGTCAACATCAACAAGGAGTTTCATAAACATCTCGTCGTAGCATTCATCTCCTCTAGGATGGAGGAGGAGTTGACAGCGCAAGATAGATCGTATTCCGTGGGGGGAGTTTTTCCAATTCTGTTTTTTTTTTTTTTTTTTGGGACGGTTCATGTGGATTTAATTGGTTTGGTAATTCTCCTGAGAGGCGGCCAATTTATAGCCTGTTAACACTTGACATCATGCAGGTCGTGCGTTATGAGCGCAATTTGCGAAGTTGGCTGTAAAATATGTTTGCAGTGAAGATGTTTACAGCAATTAATCAAGCAACCTTTTTTTTTTCTTCTCCCTTATAATGTCCAGACGACCTCCTAAGCGGTCCATTTTGGCTGTGGAAATGTAACGACAAACCTATCAGTGGCTTCTGGATAGCATGTTTCTAATTTTTGTTATTTTACTGCCTCAAAATGTTTACAGGGTTTGATATGGTGTTGATTCTGTGGCCCTTGGAGAAAACAGACTACGTCCAATCTCATACTTCAGACCGGTCACAGCTGTAGCTTGACCAAAACATAAATTGAAGTCATGTGCGATTTCAATTAATCTCCAAGCAACTTTTCTTTTACTCCCCGTCGAAGTGATACCATGAGAACATTACAGAATTGTGTTGTGAGTGATGAATCCAGAGACGGCGGATTGGGAAATTATAAGCTTGGGTTGAAATGTTTTGCAGTCGAACCTGGCAGCGTTCGTGTAATTTCAACATCTCCCTGTTTCACTGTTATAAGTCTTAAAGCCACAGGAATTGCCATGGTGGGCTGCCAAAATCCAGTTCCTTTTTATGCAGGAGTAGGAATTATGGACAAAGAAAGCGAGGGAGTTACAATAGAGAGTTGAGTCTCTAAAACCAGGCGAGTTTTTATACGCCAGGCTGACCACAAACGTGTCCGCGTTTCCTTAAATCTTGCCAGCTGCGTAAATACACCAGC